TTCACACAGCCAATGGATCCCTGCTGGTGCTTCCTCAAGGCCTCCCTAGACCCGCTTTCCTTCCCCCTCTGCACGTGCAGCTCCTGGCTCACGCCACCCCTCAGCCCTGATTCAGCTGAGACTCCCCCCCCGCATCTGCCACTGGCATTCGGGGGGGTTGGGGGGTCATTTCCAAAGGAAGGGCCAGAGGTCCCAGCTGCCCTGCCCCCCCCCCCCCCCCCCCCCCCGGCTAGGGTTCTATCAGCCTCTTCTTGAATCTCTCTTCCTCCAGCCTTTTCCCCATCTGCTACAGAGCATGGATTCAAGCATTTCACCTGATTTTGCAGTCGTCCGAAGCGGTGACAATAAGGCTGAAATTTGAAATCTACTGTTCAGAGCAAAAACTAGATCACCCGGGGGTGTGTGTGTGTGTTACCAAGCTGTGCCAACAACTGTACCACTACTGGCACCGACAGTACCAACGGCGCCGCTAACCGAGGCTAACTGAGGCTTTACAGCTGGGTGTGAGGCGGTGGACAGTGTCCAGTTGACAGCCGATATCGGAAGACTCGCCATCTTTTAATATAAGTTGTATGATGTGTGTGCCTCCAACTGTCCCGTCGATCGAAGAAATTGCTTTGGCGGGCACACGAGAGAGGGCCTTTTAAGTGGCAGCCCCGCAATTATGGAACACAGAGAAGAGTGCCTGCACCCCCCTCTCTCGATCTCTAGGAAGCAGCTAAAGACGTGGGGTTTTTTCGGGACCGCATTTGGTTAAGTACGTTTACTAGCAGTCCTGAGCAGTGATTTTAAATTCTGGTTTTATGTTTTCGGACTATTTCATTCTATTGTTTTATGACTGATACGATCATGAAATTATTCGGAGACCATCTTGTTTTCATGGAGCACTTTATTCTTGTTTTTGTTGTTATTTAATGGTTTTGTTTCATCTTGTTTTTATGCATGGGCCTGTGCCAGTATCGCGGGTCCCACTTCTTGTAAATACATAAACCCAATTCACCTAAAATGTGGTGTTGGATGAGACTCCCAGGTACACGAAAAAAAGACAAATAAGCAGGTTCTAGATAGAATCAAGCTAAAGCAACTACACTGAGGGCTCTCAAAGTTTGGTCCCATGATGTGAAGATGAGAGTCCCTGGAAAAGTCAATCATGCTAGGAAAACCTGAAGGCAGCAGAGGAAGAGGGAGACCCAACGTGAGAGGGATTGGCCCGGTCAAGGAAGCCACAAAGGCCCTTCCGTTTCAAGACCTGAGTGAGCCTGCTAACAATAAGACGTTTTGGAGGCTGCTCATTCAAAAGGTTATGAATTCGCAGGGCCACCGGAAGTCGGAAACAACTCGACAGCAGTGAAAACACACCACGAGCTGTTTCGAGCTCTGTTGGGAAGAAAGGGACCGAGCAAATGTTTTAAAAGAGTGAATCAAAGACTTCCTGAGCCTGAGAGACTCCAAGGGCTTGCCCGAGTTCTGAGAGACTCGGACAGGAGGAGGAAGAGGGAAGAGCGCGGCGGGACGCCCTGCGTGAGGAGCGCGGCAGAGTCTCCATCTTGGGAGCGCCTCCCTGCGTGAAAAGCTCTTTGCGGGCAGAAGCAAGGAAGCAAGAGCACGGCAAGGGAGAGTCAACCCTTTCCCCCTGTGGAGTGCCGGCCTTCCCTGGCCCCTCGGGCTGGATGGTGCCTAGCAACCCCCATCAGCATGAAAAGCTGTAGCGGTGACGAGGGCAAAAGGGCACCATGGGGAAAGGGGCTCCATGGTTTGATTGCCACATTCTGCCCAGAGGGCTCCCCCCTTGCCTCCCGGCTGCTTCCTTCTCCCGTGGAGCTTCTCCTCCCTCCCTCGAGTATTGCGGGTCCCCCTTCTGGTAAATACATAAACCTGATTAACCTAAAATGTGGTGTTGGATGAGACACCCAGGAACATGAAAAAAGACCAGGGCTATTTTTGGGCAGGAACGCACAGGAACGGAGTTCCGGCTGGCTCCTGAGTTAGCCACTCCCAGCAGGAACTCATTAGCATAATAGGCCACACCCAGCAGCAGAAACTCATTAGGATTGGCTACGTTAGGGGTGTGTGGCCTAACATGCAAAGGAGTTCCTGCTACAAAAAAAGCCCTGGGTCTTGACAACAAACAAGGTAAACAGAATAAGAAGGGAAAGGTGGGTGTGGCTGGATGTCCACACTTCTGGTAACATGGGGGTGCGGCCTAATAGGCTAATGAGTGGTGCGGTCAGGGTGTGGCCTAATATGCTAATGAGTTTTGCTGTTGGGTGTGGCCTATTATGCTAATTAGTTCCTGCTGGGCTTTTTCTACAAAAAGACAAATAAGCAGGTTCTAGAGCGAATCAAGCTAAAGCAACTAAACTGAGGGCTATCAAAGTTTGGTCACATGATGTGAAGACAAGAGTCCTTGGAAAAGTCAACCATGCTAGGAAAATCTGAAGGCAGCAGAGAGAGAGGGAGACCCAACGTGAGATGTATCGGCCCGGTCAAGGAAGCCGCGGCCCTTCCATTTCAAGACCTGAGCGAGCCTGCTAACAAGAAGACATGTTGGAGGTTGCTCATTCAAAAGGTTATGGATTCACAGGGCCACCAGGAGTCGGGAACGACCCGGCAGCACTTAAAACACACACCACGAGCCGTGCCGAGCTCTGTCAGGAAGAAAGGGACCGAGCAAATGTTTTAAATAAGAGAATCAAAGACTTCCTGAGCCTGGGAGACTCCAAGGGCTTGCCCGAGTTCTGAGAGACGCAGACAGGAGGATGGAGAGGGAAGAGCTTTTGTGGCGGAACGCCCTGCGTGAGGAGCGCGGCAGAGTCTCCATCTTGGGAGTGTCTCCCTGCGTGGAAAAGCTCCTCGCGGGCAGAAGCAAGAAAGTGAAAGCACGGCAAGGGAGAGCAAACCCTTTCCCCCTGCGGAGTGCCGGCCTTCCCTGGCCCCTCAGGCTGGACGGTGCCTAGCAACCCCGTCAGCATGAAAAGCTGTAGCAGTGACGAGGGCAAAAGGGCACCGTGGGGAAAGGGGGCTCCATGGTTGGACTGCCACATTCTGCCCAGAGGGGCTCCCCCCTTGCCTCCCCACTGGGAGAGCCAGTTTGGTGTAGCGGTTAGGAGCGCGGACTCCAGTCTGGGAGAGCCAGGTCGGGGAGTGAAGGGCGGGGTATGAATCCAATCTCTTCTTCTTCTTCTTTTACCTCACAGAGGGTGTCTGTGGTGGGGAGGGGAAGGGAGAGGAGTTTGTGAGCTGCTCTGAGACTCCTTCGGGTAGTGAAGGGCCATGGGGTATGAATCCAATCTCTCCTTCTTACCTTGCCCTTGGGTGAGGCGGCTGTCCTGGGGGACCTCCGGCTGCTGCCCCGGGGGGAATTTTTCGGAGTCACTTTCCGGTTGGCCCCGCGGCGCAGAAGGCTGTTGCCTATTTTCTTCGGCGTGTTGAGGATGCTGAAGGCCAGCGACTGGCGCCTCTCGGTCTGCAGTTGAGAAAGGAGCACGTTCGTTCTGGGATGTTAGGGTCTTGTCCCCCCCCCCCCCCCAAGCCCTTAAAAACTGCAGGATGAGGGAGCCCACTGAACATAGGAACACGAGAGAAGCTAAGGTTGGATCAGGCCAATGGCCCCTCCGGTCCAACACTCTGTGTCACACAGGGACCAGAAATACCAGTGCCATCAGGGGGTCGTTTTGAAGACCTGGTGGCAACACACACACGTAATCACCAGAAAGATCCAGCTTCAGAGAATGTTTCGGAAACATTGGATGTAGCCAGTTCGGTGTGGTGGTTAAGTGTGTGGATTCCAATCTGGGAGAACCGGGTTTGATTCCCCACTCCTCCACTTGCACCTGCTGGATGACCTTGGGCAAGCCATAGTTCTGTCAGAGCTGTTCTCGAAAAAGAGCAGTTTCTGTCAGAGCTCTCTCAGCCCCACCTACCTCACAGGGTGTCTGTTGTGGGGAGGGGAAGGGAAAGGAGTTTGTAAGCTGCTCTGAGACACCTTTGGGGTAGTGAAGGACTGAGTGTAAATCCAATCTCTTCTTCTTCTCATAGATAGACAGACAGATGGATACATATTGAGAGCCAGTTTGGTGTCGTGGTTAAGTGTGCGGACTCTAATCTGGGAGAACCGGGTTTGATTCCCCACTCCTCCACTTGCACCTGCTGGGTGACCTTGGGCAAGCCCTAGTTCTGATAAGAGCTGTACTTGAAAAAGAGCAGTTTCTGTCAGAGCTCTCTCAGCCCCACCTACCTCACAGGGTGTCTGTTGTGGGGAGGGGAAGGGAAAGGAGTTTGTAAGCCTCTCTGAGTGAAGGGCGGCATATAAATCCAGTCTCCTCTCTCTCTCCTCTTCTAGTGAACTGAGCAGGGCTTGGCCCTAGCAGCTACATGGGCTGGCACCCACCGCATATGGGATAAGCCATCCATTGACTAAATGCGGCTGTCTGTGCGCCGCAGCACACCGCATTCCAACAAGGCGTTGGTGCTTCGCTAGCGGCATTCTACCTGTAAAGCAGACACACACACCCCGCGGCCACACTGTTCCCATTTTACAGGTGGGGAAAACTGAGGTCGAGAGGGAAACTTTCGCCTGGGGATCCAGTGGGGAACTGAGGGCTTAGCGGGGATTTGAACCCAGGCAACAGTCTAAATTTGGCACAATGGGTTGCCTGGCTTGGGGCAATCCAGTGCTAAGATTTCTCGAGGGAACAGTGGAGGTTATGAGGTGGAAGGGGGGGGCCCACAGGACGCAGGGACCAGTGTTCCCTCTAAGCTGAGTTAGTGTGAGCCAGCTCACAGTTTTTTAGCCTCCGGCTCACACAGTTTTGTCTTAGCTCAGGAAGGAGGGCTCCAGAGCAAACTAATTTGTGCAGTAGCCAAACTGCTCGCTCACAACTTTAATGCTCGTTGCTCACAAAGTAGAACTTTTGCTCACAAGACTCCACAGCTTAGAGGGAGCATTGATGGGGACTGGAACCTGAAGGGGGAGTAGCAGAAACTAAGCATGGAGATCTGAGGGTGTCGTTCCCACCCCCACCCCCGATGACAAGAAGTTTGCATTGCTGGACAATGTCACTCACCCCGGGGTATGACAGCTCCCCCCCCCCCCCCCCACCGCACTCCCCGCAGCGAGAGATTAGAAGCCTCTCCCTCTATGAGCCCCGAAGGGCTTTACGATCTGCCAATCAACACCTTCTGGTGGTCGCCATCCCCGGGAACATCCGCCTCGCCTCGAGCCGGGGCCTTTTCAGCCCTGGCCCCCACCTGGTGGAAATGAGCTCCCAGACGAGATCAGGGCCCTGCGGGACCTTTGACAGTTCCGCAGGGCCTGCTAGATGGAGCTCTTTCGCCAGGCTTTTAACTAGGGCGACGGACGGTCCCTCCCTCTTTACCGGGGCTCCCCTCAACGGGTCAGAGCTGCACACCAGAGTTGGCATCTGTGAGGTTTTAATGCCAATGACAACGGCACCGGACGAAGGCCACGGTGGTATCTTATTGGTGTTTTAATTGTATTAATTGTGTACATTCTATTTTTATCAAATTTCATGGAACCCGCCCTGAGCCTGCCATGCGGGGAGGGCGGGACGTAAGTCGGATAAAAATAAAAACAAATAAAGATTTCACCAGATAATTTTCAGAAGTCAGAAAAATACTTGATTGTACACGTCTTAACTGTGGCAAGAATTATATTCGCAAAAACATGGAGACAGGAAAGGATGCTATCAAAGCAAGAATTTATCAATAAATTTATGGAGGCTGTAGAATCAGATAATTTTAATTTGAAATGACAAGGAAGAGAAGAATCCATTCTCTTTAAAAACTGGTCATGTGTACATGAATGGCTAGAGAGCTTCTGTTGAATTATAGGTCACAGAACGTGATTATAGTTAACGTGATTATAGTTATTGTTAGCCGCCCTGAGCCTTCGAGGGCGGGATACAAATCTAAATAATAAATAAATAAATAAAATAAACCCTCTAGCTGCCATTTTTTCTATATTTTCTCCAGAAAAGCAAAGGAGAAAGGGAAAGTCCCTACTGTGTTGTGTTTATGTTTGTTGTGCTGGATTGTTTTTTCCTTCTTCTTTTTGCTGTTTGTTGAAATACAATAAAAGAGATTAAATAAATAAATAAAATAAAGTGGAGGTGGAAAGGAGATTGTAAGCCGCTCTGAGACTCCTTTGGGTAGTAAAGGGCAGGGTATAAATCCAATCTCCTCTTCTTCTCATAGATAGAGAGACAGATGGATACATATTGAGAGCCAGTTTGGTGTCGTGGTTAAGTGTGTGGACTCTCATCTGGGAGAACCGGGTTTGATTCCCCACTCCTCCATTTGCACCTGCTGGGTGACCTTGGGCGAGCCGTAGTTCTGATAAGAGCTGTTCTTGAAAAAGAGCAGTTTCTGTCAGAGCTCTCTCAGCCCCACCTGCCTCACAGGGTGTCTGTTGTGGGGAGGGGAAGGGAAAGGAGTTTGTCAGCCGCTCTGAGACTCCAAGTGAAGGGCGGGGTATAAATCCAATCTCTTCTCTTCTTCCCTGCCCTTCCCGCTCCCCCTGGCCCTGCCTGCTGAAGGAGCCGCCGGTTCCCCGCCCACGCCGCTCACCTGCTTCTCGGCAGCCTGGGCTGCCCCCTTCTTGCCCCCCGCGAGGGAGCCGCGCTTGACCTCCTCGTTCCGCCGCTTGGGGGTCTGGGGCCGTGGGAAGCAGATGGAGGACTTCTTGGCCTGCAGCGGGGTGGGGTGGGGGAGAGACAAGAGAGTTGGCACTTCGGGCAGAAGCCGCGCAGTCGGGGGAAACTGGCAACACTTACGGAAACACGAAGGAACTCACCCCTTCCCACTGCCCCCCAGTCCTGCTGGGTGGCCGAGGAGGACAGAAGGGAGGAATCCCAGGGAGGCAGGAGAGGGAGGGAGACTTGACTGCCGGCAAAGGTCCCTTCTGCTCCGGAGGAGGAGTACACACACCCCCCCGGATGTGCTAGCTCTCCCCCGTTCCAGGGTGCCTTTCTCCACAAAGGAATCTCCGCTCTCTTCCATCATGCACTTCCCTGCCCCACCCAAGCTTTCAGAGGTGAAGACCATCCAGTCCCACATTCTGCGTCACACAGAGGCCAAAAACACCAGGGGCCATCAGGAGGTCCAGCAGCGGGGCCAGAACTCCAGAAGCCCTTCCACTCTTGCCCCCCTCCCCAAGCACCGAGAATACAGAGCATCCCTTGCCCCCAGACATAAGAACATAAGAGAAGCCCATGTTGGATCAGGCCAATGGCCCCTCCAGTCCAGCACTCGGTGTCATACAGAGGCCAAAAACACCAGGGGCCATCAGGAGGTCCAGCAGCTGGGCCAGAACTCCAGAAGCCCTCCCACTGTGGCCCTCCAAGCACCGAGAAGACAGAGTATCACTTCCCCCAGACATAAGAACATGAGAGAAGCCAATGCTGGATCAGGCCAATGGCCCACCCAGTCCAACACTCTGTGGCACACGGTGGCCAAAAACACCACGGGGCCATCAGGAGGGTCCACCAGCAAGCCAGGAGGGGCAGCCCCCATGTGTGTGCCTGAAGACCCACCGGGGGAGAGGGGACCCTCCACTCTTTTAGCACGCCAGGATGATCACCTTGAGGGGTCCCTCCTGTGGGCCTCAAGGCAGGTGACAGATCTAGTAAATGGGACGCGGGATGGGGTGGTGTGGTGGAGTCTAGGGCTGGAATATCCCAAGTCGGTTGACAAAGGAAGCTTGGAGTCTTGAAAGCTCACGCCCCGAAAATCCTGTTGGTCTCCCATGGGTGCCAGCTCACAGTTCTTTAGCCTCCAGCTCACACATCTCTGTCTTAGCTCAGGAAGGCTGGGGCTCCAGAGCAAACTAATTTCTGCAGCAGCCAGATCGCTCGCTCACCACTTGAATGCCCAGGAGCTCACAAAGTAGAATTTTTGCTCACGAGACGCTACAGCTTAGAGGAGGGAGCCTTGCAGCCAGTGTTCCCTCTAAGCTGAGCGGGTGTGACCTAGCTCACCGCTTTTTAGCCTCCAGCTCACACATTTTTGCCTTAGCTCAGGAAGGACGGGGCTCCAGAGCAAAATGATTTAATGCAGCAGGCAAATCGCTCGCTCACCACTTTAATGCCCAGCCGCTCACAAGGTAGGATTTTTGCTCACGAGACGCCACAGCTTAGAGGAGGGAGCCTTGCAGCCAGTGTTCCCTCTAAGCTGAGCGAGTGTGAGCCAGCTCACAGTTCTTTAGCCTCCGGCTCACACATTTTCGCCTCAGCTCAGGAAGGAGGGGGCTCCAGAGCAAACTAATTCATGCAGCAGCCCAACCGCTCGCTCACCACTTGAATGCCAGGAGCTCACAAAGTAGGATTTTTGCTCACAAGACTCCGCAACTTAGAGGGAGTAACGACTCCCTTCTTCGTGCCCACCCCACCTCCTGGCTTGCACACATCGGTTCTTCCCACTCGCTGTCAGCTAAGCTGCCATGAGTAAGGAGAGGCTCTCTAATTGTTATGCATTCCTTCCCATGCGCTTAATTGCTTCACAGCTGCAACGCTTATCTGTAAAGAGTTACTGGAGGAGTTGTGGTGTCTACCTTTCGTGGGATCGTCCTGGTTCCCAGCTTCGCTACCGCTAGAGACTCTGGCCGTCTCCCACACGCGGGAGCCCATCTAATTGGGTATTGCTAGGAGGGGTGTGTGCATATGAATGCCCTATATCCTATTATGCGCATAGGTAGTCCGCCATTCCTAACAGTGTTCCTGTTACTGCATCTATGGCTTTTCAATAAAGGTAAAACCTTCCTGGAAGCGTGTACTTCATTGTTTTGCTGTGGACCCTGACACTTGCCGGAATCCCCAGGCCGGCCCCCCCCGCCACGAGCAACTCCCCCCCCCCGCTGGCTCGAGCCCACCGTTCCCCGTTCCCCTCCCACCCACCACGAGAGGCTGCTGCCGGGCGGCTCACCTCCGGGGTGCCGGGCCCCTGCTGGGACTCCGTCAAGCTGCGCTTCCTCTGCTGCCGGGTGGCCACCCCTCCGGCCCCCCAGGCGGAGCTCAGGGTGCTGCGGCGGGTCATGGGGCCCTCCGCGATCTGGGAGGGGAGCATGCTGGCGCGCCGGAGCGTCTCCTTGGGGTCTCCGGTCTTCATCTCCTCGTCCGTGATGCTGGTCAGGGACTGGGAGGGCTGCAGAAGGGGGGGTGGGGGTGGGGGGAAAGAGCGCCGTCAGACAAAGGACTCACACGTAGAAGGAGAAGGAGAGATTGGATTTACACCCCTCGCCCTTCACTACCCAAAGGTGTCTCAGAGCGGCTTACAAACTTCTTTCCCTTCCCCTCCCCATCACAGATGCCCTGTGAGGTAGGTGGGGCTGAGAGAAGAAGAGAAGAGATTGGAAGAGAGAGAAGAAGAAGAAGAGATTGGATTTCTACCCCGCCCTTCACTACCCAGAGGTGTCTCAGAGCAGCTTACAAACTTCTTTCCCTTCCCCTCCCCATCACAGATGCCCTGTGAGGTAGGTGGGGCTGAGAGAAGAAGAGAAGAGATTGGAAGAGAGAAGAAGAAGAAGAAATTGGATTTCTACCCCGCCCTTCACTACCCAGAGGAGTCTCAGAACGGCTGACAAACTCCTTCTCCTTCCCCTTCCCACAACACACACCCTGTGAGGTCGGCGGGGCTGAGAGAGCTCTCCCGAGAACTGCCCCTGAGAGAACAGCTCAGAGACAACTTGTGACTGAAGGAGAAGAGGTTGGATTCATACCCCACCGTTCACTACCCAGAGGAGTCTCAGAGAAGCTGACAAACTCCTTTCCCTTCCCCTCCCCACAACAGACACCCTGTGAGGTAGGCGGGGCTGAGAGAGCTCTCTCTCGAGGACTGTTCCTGAGAGAACAGCTCTGAGAAGACTTGTGACTGGCCCAAGGTCACACCAGCAGCTGCGAGTGGAGGAGCAGGGAATCAAACCCGATTCTCCCAGATTAGAGTCCACGCTCCTAACCACTACACCAAATTGGCTCTCTACGCCAAACTGGCTTACCTTCTCTCACGAGGTTAAGATCCACTGAGGCAAAGCGATGTTTTTTGAAAAGCTGCACAGCCAACCAAAAGCCCTGCTGGGCAAAAGCCTCACCTTGCCTGACCCACTTTCTAAAAACACCTGGTGGGTGCTGGGAAAGGTGTTGGCAGGCACCGTGTTGGGGACCCATGATCCGCGGACTCCCTAAAAGAATCCGGCCAGAACCGTGCTGGAAACTGGCCCTCCGGACACAATGGAGCTTTGCTGTGCTCTAGCCGGATCCCGTGATCCACGCGTACTTACTCTGGACTCCAAGGGGTAGCAGGTCTTCAGGTGAGGTGGACACACCCTGTTGCGCTGCTGCAGCTCGGCGATGCGGTTCCACTCGTCCAGGTGATCCGGTTCATCCTGGCAGGTTCCCAGGTACAGGCTGCTGTGTCCTGAGAGCAGGGGGAGCGAAAGGGAGATGTTTATGCGACTGACACGTCAAGGACACCGCCAACGAGAAGTCGATGAACCAAACTGAAAGGAGCAAGAGCCCGGTGGCACCTTGAAGACTGGCGACATTTGTGGCAGGGGAGTAGCTAGCCTGAGTCAGGGCTCACTTCTTCAGTGACTCGCGGAAGCGCCTCCTCGGCCACAGATTTCGTTAGTCTCCAAGGAACTCCTGGGCTCTTGCTCCTCTCTGTGGCTAGAGACGAACCAACACAGCTCTCCGTCTGGGCCCACACTGAATATCACAAGATGGACAGACTCTCCTCACCGGGGAGATTGGATTTCTACCCCGCCCTTCACTCCCCGAAGGAGTCTCAGAGCGGCTGACAAACTCCTTTCTCTTCCCCTCCCCAGTCCCCACCACAGACACCCTCTGTGAGGAAGGTGGGGCGGCTGAGAGCTCTTTCCAGAACTGCTCTGAAAGAACTTGTGGCTGACCCAAGGTCACACCAGCAGCTGCATGTGGAGGAGTGGGGAATCAAACCTGGT